CTCTCAGCTCTGCCTTCGGATGAGTCCGTAGAGTCGAGTGGCCCGTATGCAGAGCTTGTTGGCTGCCTCATGTACCTGATGACCTGCACACGACCTGACCTTGCATACCCTCTGAGCATTCTTGCACGCTATGTTGCTCCTGGGAGACACAGACCGGAGCACATGGCTGCAGCGAAGAGGGTATTGCGCTACCTGTGCAGTACGTCGGGCATGGGGCTAGTGCTTGGAGGGCGGAGTCCAGTGGTCCTTACCGGCCACGCGGACGCTTCTTGGGCTGACGACCAGGCTACGCAGCGGTCGTCACAGGGTTACACCTTCAGCCTTGGTTCCGGCTCTGTCTTGTGGCGGTCTACTCGCTCGTCTTCGGTTCTCGGCTCCTGTTGTGAGGCTGAGATCTACGCCGGGGCCATGGCTGCATAGGAGCTTCGCTGGCTCACCTACCTGCTGACTGACCTTGGAGAGCCGCCTCGTTCTCCTCCAGTGCTGTACGTAGACAACAAGGCCATGCTGGCCTTGTGTCGAGAGCAGCGCTTGGAGCACAGAACGAAGCACATTGCTCTCCGCTACTTCCTTGCTCGTGAGCTGCAGCAGCGTGGTCAGTTGCGACTTGCGTACGTGGCCTCTGAGGCCAACACTGCTGATGTGTTCACCAAGGCACTCGCGCCTTGTGACCATCAGCGCTTTTGCACCCAGCTGGGTCTTGTGCCTGTCTTGCCTCACTTGTTCTCCTCTTGACTTCACTTGTACTGTGACATATATATATGCCTGCTCTTGCTTGTCTAGTTTTTATATATATGTCTGTACTCCTGCATGTGAACTGGCCTCTGGCCCTACTCTTGTGCTCGGACTGTGTGGTGACTTTGTGATCCACCCTGAGCTTGCTTTACTTGCTTGACTGGTCTTGTGACCCCTTGTTCTCCCCCACTTTGCCTATGGGGGTGTGTCAGATTTATGTGACATAGTTGCTGTAGGCTATAGTGGGGTAGCACATATGGGGTACAGGGTTTCTAGGGTTGTATTTGTACCCAATCTTTCCTTAGTCACTCCGATTCCTGTTCTTCAGTTTCACATAGCCCATAAGGGGTACAACCCAATTAGGGTTAGTACTTGTACCCAACTGTTTCATAGTTCATTCATTCCATTCTCACTTCTCGTCATGGTATCGAGCAGGTTCCCGAGTGGGAATACTGCCTAGGGCCCACCACGAACTTTTTTTTCTTGCCTGAGCGCGCTTAGCTCCTAACCCGAGTAGCACCTTGAGCCGCCTTAGTGGCCCCTATTGGGCGCCCTTACGGCCCCTCAAGCCGCCCTCTACGGCCTCGCTTAGGCCGCTACGGCTCCGCTACGGCCCCGCTTAGGCCCCGTCGGCCCGCTACGGCCCCGCTTAGGCCCCGCTTAGGCCCCTCTACGGCCCCGTCGGCCCAGTTGGCCCCGCTTAGGCCCCGCTACGGCCCCGCTACGGCCTCGTTACGGCCCCGCTTAGGCCCCGCTATGGCCCCGCTACGGCCCCGCTACGGCCCCGCTACGGCCCCGTCGGCCCCGCTTAGGCCCCGCTACGGCCCCGCTACGGCCCCGTCGGCCCCGCTCAGGCCCCGCTACGGCCCCGCTACGGCCCCGTCGGCCCCGTCGGCCCCGCTTAGGCCCCGTCGGCACCGTCGCGGCCCCGCTCAGGCTTCGCTTCGGCCCTCTTGGCCCCGCTTAGGCCCCGCTGCGGCCCCGCTACGACCCCGCTACGGCCCTGTCGCGGCCCCGCTTCGGCCCCGTCGGCCCCTCTACGGCCCCACTTGGGCCTCGCTTTGGCCCCGTCGGCCCTGCTATGGCCCCGCTTAGGCCCCTCTACGGCCCCGTCGTGGCCCCGCTACACCGCCACCTGCGACCTCGCCACCACCTGCGACCCCGCCTCCCAGCGCCCGCAGCGCCGAGCAGCCGAACCGCCGGCCAGCTGAGCCGCCCGACCGCCCGAGCCGCCCAGCAACCGAGCCGCCCGGCAGCCGAGCCGCCCAGCAGCTGAGCCGCCCGACAGCCGAGCCGCTCAGCACCGTGCAGCCGAGCCGCCCAGCAGCCGAGCCGCCCAGCAGCCAAGCCGCCCAGCAGCCGAGCCGCCCTGCAGCCGAGCCGCTCGACAGCCGAGCCGCCGAGCAGCCCGATCGCTACACCTACCTGGTAAGAGCACAGTCTCTGCCACTGCACTGCCCTGCCTACTGCTGTTATGGCTTCCCCTAGCGTTCTCACCTTAGACGTTGAGGGTCGGGTAGTAGACTTTGAGGTTTGGGTAGATGATATGCAGCTTTTCCTGCAGTGCGATAGGGCAGACGGCCTCTCCCTGTTTGACCTCACTTCTGGTGCCTCCCCTGCCCCTGCTGCTGATGCTGACGCCACTGTTTGCTCACAGTGGGCCACACATGACGCTGCTGCTCGCCTTGCTGTGCGCCGTCAATTACCGACCACTGAGCGTGCACACTTTAGCCAGTACAAGAGTGCTCAGACCTTGTACGACGCTGTAGTTGCACGCTACTCTTCCCTGACCTTGCTGCCTTTCCCACTTTCGCTGACCTCATTACGCACCTCTGCACTAGTGACACTCGCTACCGCGCTGCGCTTCCTGCTGAGTTCTGCGCCAAGAACCCCCCCCCCCCCCCCCCCCCCCCCCCCCCCCCCATGTACATCACCCTCTACTACATAGTCACCCGTCTCCCTGACTCTCTCCGTGTAGTCAGGGACCACTTCCTCTCTGTTTGCCCCACCACTCTCACCGTTGACCTCCTCGAGAAGGCCCTCCTAGCGATAGAGAAGAGCATATTCGCTGTAGGAGCCTCTCGTGGTGACCCTCGCACCCCCGTCTTTGAGGGGTGTTCATAGTTTATTCATTCCATTCTCACTTCTCGTCAAAAAACAAATTAATTGTTATTGACAATTTTTTTTTTTAATTTATGAATCGCTATTGCTATTGTTATTAATGGACTGTAATAGGTCGTCGTCATACTGGTTACAAACACACTCCAAATCTTAAACATTATAAGTGAACAGCAGTTTCGGAATACACTATAGGAATGTGTAGTGCTGTAACGTTACAGGTGGTAACATTCGCGCTCAACGATTTTCGGCTGCCACCACTTGGACGATCGTAAACGGTCGTCTGCAGCCGTTTACCACCACCAACTCGCCAGAAATTGGGGTCGACGTGGATCGTGGTTGGCCCCTCAACTCGTTTCCCACTCAACCTTCCCCATTCGCGAACTGTCGTAAACTACCGCCCAAACCCAATTAATCCCGGTTAACGCTCGGACACTGTAGCTGAAACAATCGGGGATATATGCTGGTTCCGACACCCCCCCGTTTTCCAATCACAAAGGGCAATACCCTTGGTGGTTTATTGCCGTGGGGGTCAATCACGGTAACCACAACATAAACGACGCTCAAGAAGGCGTTTACGACCCAAAACGCCTCTTACATTTTTCCGATGAGTGTGAGCAGGGGGAAAGAGAGAGAGCAGGGGGGAAGAGAGTGAGCAGAGGGAAAGGGGTTGAGCAGGGGGGAACGGTTGAGTGAAGGGGGGAAGAGGGGTGAGAACAGGGGGTTGAACAGGAGAGGAGAGAGTGAAGGGTGGGGAAAAGAGTGGGCAGGGGGGAAGAGAGTGAGCAGTGGGAAAGAGAGTGAGCATGGCGAAAGAGAGTGAGTAGGAGAGAGCGGCAATGGGAGGGGAATTGAAGGCGACGGGTGGGGAAGCAAGTGTGACGGGCGGGAAAGTGAGTGCGGCATGTGGGGAAGGCGACCGGAGGGGGTATTGAAAGCATCAGGGGTAAGAAGTGAAGGCGACGGAAGGGGAAAATGAAGGCGACGGGAGGGGGAAGAGAAGGCGACGGGAAGGGGAAGTGAAGGCAACGGGAGGGGGGAAAGTGAAGGCGACGAGAGGGGGAAGCGAAGGCGACGGGAGGGGGAAATGAAGGCAATGGAAGCGGGGGGGAGGGGGGGGGAGTAAAGGCGACGGGGGGGGGGGGGGAAGTGAAGGCGACGGGCGGATCGAAGGCGACGGGCTGGGGTCGCAAACGCGACGAGCTGCAGAAGCGATGGCGACGACGCGGGCGATAGAGAGCGGACGCGTAGGACCTAGGGGAAGGAAGGCGAGGGCGAGGGGATTGTCACGCTTGGGCAAACGGGTGTGATTCGATTTTCACCGCGAGTTTACGCTACGCAGTAGTTGCACAATAACCTGCATTTCTACACAAAAATCTTCACTCAGCGAACACTAGCTTTGGGCGTCATCATCGAAATCCGCGCCACCCACATCGTAAGGCGCATCTGATCCCTTTTGAGTGAACGCCGACGCCCTGCCCTGTCTACAGATATGCTCTATACCTAATACTCTGCGTGCTATCTCAAACTGTGCACAGTTAGGTATGCACGCGCTTTTCTGGTTGTGGGAAGGACCCCACCCATCATGGGAAGCGAGAAACTTTTGTCACAAATTGGTTTCGCGAGTGAAAGTCTCTCGAAACCCAACCAAACCTCTCCGTGCCTGCCTCCCAAACCTAGTTTTTAGCGTTGACTTCCGTTGAGAAATTCAGGTCTTGGGCTTTAAAAATGGCAGGGGATATGTTGTCTTATGTGAGAAGTGCCGGTTCGACGTGTCTTATTCTTGGCCTTCGGTCGACACCAAGTGGGAGTGGGCCCACTCGCATTAGCGAACATAGCCCCTTCAGTTAACATATTTCGGGTTGTAACATTGCACTTCACAAAAAGGTCGGATACGATCAGCTTTAGTTCACAAGACGGCACGCCCCTTGCACATACCTCAAATCGTCTGACTTGCTCGAGTGAGGATCTTGTGGATTGCCTTAGAGAGTTCTGATAGTGGAAGACTTGTGGTAGGAACCTTGTGCATAGTGGATGTAAATGACAAGATTGATTAAAATGATATTATACACACAATAAATCGGTCTAGCTAGCCATGTACTCTAAGGGGTACATTCCATTATTTTAACTGCTTCACAAGCAGTTCTTCAGTGACTTGGACTAGTCTTCTTCTTCTTCTTCTTCTTCTTCTTCTTCTTCTTCTTCTTCTTCTTCTTCTTCTTCTTCTTCTTCTTCTTCTTCTTCTTCTTCTTCTTCTTCTTCTTCTTCTTCTTCTTCTTCTTCTTCTTTTTCTTCTTCTTCTTCTTCTTCTTCTTCTTCTTCTTCTTCTTCTTCTTCTTCTTCTTCTTCTTCTTCTTCTTCTTCTTCTTCTTCTTCTTCTTCTTCTTCTTCTTCTTCTTCTTCTTCTTCTTCTTCTTCTTCTTCTTCTTCTTCTTTTTCTTCTTCTTCTTCTTCTTCTTCTTCTTCTTCTTCTTCTTCTTCTTCTTCTTCTTCTTCTTCTTCTTCTTCTTCTTCTTCTTCTTCTTCTTCTTCTTCTTCTTCTTCTTCTTCTTCTTCTTCTTCTTCTTCTTCTTCTTCTTCTTCTTCTTCTTACCGAATCGCTGCGTGTAACTGTACAGACGGCTACACCTGTTGCCATTTGTCGCTGGTGGGTCAATCGGTCCAGATGGTCAACAGTCGCGACAGTTGACCTTTGTGACTGTTGATCTGATACTGCACTTGTTACAGGCTGATCCGATACTGCCGTGAGTGTTGCGACGGGTGTGATACAGCTGCACCTACGGGAATGCTATACTTAATCCCTTCATATCCCAATACCCCCCTTTGTTCCTGGAGGTGCGCCACGTGGCTCTTTTGAACAACTCCGCACAGGTCCGAGCAGTACAGGAACTTCTGACGTGGGAGTTTCTTCGTCAAGAAGCCAGCTGCCGTTTTGCTAGTTGGGCAGTAGGTGAGCTGGACCTTTCCCTTGTCAATTTTGTCCTTGACGAAGAAGTAACGCAGGGCGATGTGTTTCATGCGGTTGGCGAAGCCTGGCTTGTTTGCGATCTTGATCGCGCTTTGGTTGTCGCAGAGAAACTTGAATGACACGTTCATCTCTGTCCTTGTTTCCTGCACAAGCTCTGTGAGGTAGATTCCTTCACAAACTGCTGCACTGGCTGCAATGGATTCTGCTTTCGCTGACAAAAGGGCGATGAGCTCCTGCTTCTGTCAGTTCTAGGATATGATTCGTGCAGGCTCAAGTTTGTCAATGAAGCCTGGGCGGGTCCTTCTGTTGTATGCTGTCAGACATGCATGATATAGCCTGTGTAGGCTGTAGTGGGGTAGCCAATAGGGGGTACAACTTTTCTAGGGTTTCATACTTGTACCTTTCTCATTCCTAGTCAATTCTTCCTCGTTATTATTCTCACATGGTATAGAGCGGGTTCCCTATTGGGACCGTTTTTTTCCACCACTTCGATTCTTTTTTTTTTCCTGCTCCTGCCCGAAGCGCGCATTGCACTCTGCCCTTAGGCCCGTTGTGCTCTGCGCGGCCCGCCCTGCTGTCGCGGCCCCTAGCGGCCTGCCCCTCCCATCGTGGCCCGTCGCGGCCTGACCCTGCCGTCGTGGCCCGTTGCGGCCTGACCCTGCCGTCGCGTCCCGTCGCAGTCGACCCTGCCGTCGCGGCCCGTTGCAGCCGACCCTCCCGTCGCGGCCCCTCTACGGCCCGTCGCCACCCTGCCGCGAACCGCCCTGCTGCCCTTACGCGAGCGGCCGTGCCGCTCTTCGCAGCCCTTCGCGGCCCGCCCGCCCCGTCGCCGCAGCCCGCCTGCTCGTCTTCGCGGCCCTGACCTGCCGCCACTTCCGCGGCCCCCTGACCTCCCGCCTCCGTCGCGGCCCCCCCTTGACCTGCCGCCTCACGTCCAAGGCAATTTTTTTGTTTTTGAAAGCACGGAAGGCTCCGGGTTCCCTTGGGAAAAGACCTTGAAGAATCAGCAATCCCTCAAAAGTTTCCCTTCCTCGTCCGTGCGTTTTTCCCAAAATCCGAAAACGCACAACAGCGGTTCATCACCTTAGGCGCAAGAGGCTCTAAAACGCCCAAGTCAAATGGGCAAGGACTAACAAACCTAACACTTACATCATATGTGAGTAAGGACATTATATGGACTTTGCATTCGACACCCCCACACAGAAACTAGTACCGAGCTAATAACTCAGGATGGTTATCGAAACAATACTGAAAGACCCGATTGCTCGACCAAATCATCCGGAAATGATCCGGATTTTTTTTGAAACAATCGTGAGGAATCAGGATTCATCGGAAAAACATACGGAATGTACCTGAGAATCAGGATGTTTACCCTGATACCGAGAGCCCTGCTCACGGTGCCGTTTCATCATATGTATGAATAAGGACATTATATGTAAGGACATCGTATATGACTTGGGCGTTTCATCATGGCTAGTCCTAATGTCCTTACCTTCGATGCTGAGGGTTGAGCGGTCGATATTGAGGTCTAGGTCGATGATCTGCAGCTCTTTCTGCAGTGCGATAGCAAGGATTGACTATCGCTTTTTTATCTCACGTCTGGCGCCTCTGCTGCACCTGCTGCCAATGCTGACAGTTCTGTTCGCTCGCAGTGGACCACGCGCGATGCTGCTGCCCGTCTTGCTATTCGCAGTCACCTACCGTCTGCTGAGCGTGCGCACTTTAGCCAGTACAAGACCGCTAGGACTCTGTACGACGTTTTTGTTGCGCGCTACTCCTCCCCTGCCACTGCTGCCCTTAGCCGTCTCATGCTGCCGTACCTGTTCCCTGACCTAGCTGCGTTTGCCATAGTCGCTAACCTCATTACGCACCTCTGCACAAGTCACACCCGCTACCGCACTGCACTTCCTGCCGAGTTTTGCGCCGCGAACCCCCCCCCCTATGTACGTAACTCTCTACTACCTCGTCACCCGGCTCCCTGACTCCCTTCGCTCGGTCAGGGACCACTTCCTCTCTGTTTGCCCCACCACGCTCACCGTTGACCTCCTTGAGGAGCGCCTCTTTGCAGCAGAGAAGAGTATAGTCGCTGTAGGAGCCTCTCGTGGTGACCCTCGTGCCCCTTTCTTTGAGGGGTGCTCTCCCGTCCCTCTTTTGCCCTCTGTTGCCTCTGCTGCTGCTGTCGACCTCGTCGACACCGAGTCGGTCGGCGCTGCGTTTGCTCCTAGTGGGAGGCGCCGCCACGGCAAGGGCAAGGGGGGCAAGGATGTTAGAGGGGATGGTGGGGGCGGCGGTGGTGGCGGTGGAGGCGGCAAAGGGGGTGGGGGTGGAGGTGGGGGTGGTGGCGGGAGTGGGGGCTTCGGTAGCGGTGGTGGAGGTGGAGGCGGCGGAGGTGCTCTCTGAAGAGCAACCGACCACCGCTGCCTGACTTGATGCAGAAACTTAGTGGCATGATAGGAGTTAGAATCGGCGTTGAAGTGGCGTCGAACCGCCGTGTCTGCCAGGAGTTTCAGGAAGACGGGGACCTCTGCACACGGGCAACCATAGGTCTCCATCGCCAGTGGAAAGAAGCCGTCTGTCTCAGGTCTGTTCGCATAGTGTTGAATCTTTTTGTCCGCCTGCTCTCTGGCCGCCCATCCTCTGCCTTTCTACGCCTCCGGGTCCCATGTGCTGATGGGGTCTGTCACAGTTACATCACACACCCAAACTGCCCCGCTGCTCCTGTCGGTCATGGTGAAATCGGCCGTCTCCTCCTCGATGGGACAATGGGCGACCGATTCGTTGTGGACACCGAATCCCGCATCCTGAGCCATGCTAATGCATGCATCCTACAGCTCGTTGTGGGTGTTGATGCGATGCTTGCCGGTGCCACAGCAAAGGATGGGATTTGGGAGGCGAGGGTCTGTGATTTCGACGTGGTCCGCGCAGTCACAGTTCTTGGGAGTGGAGAAGGGCAATCCGAGCCGGAATCTGACCGCGTTGGCGAAATGTACCGGTCCAATGCGCCTTGTCGGAGCTATGGGTATCGCTGGGTGGCGGTGGCGGCGGCGGCGGTGGGGGTGGCGGCGGCGGTGGTGCTGGTCCGGGTGGCGCTGTGAAGCGGGGAGGCTTTGGCGGTGGTCAGCGCCAGCAGCAGCAGCACCCTCGAGAGACCTTGTCGCGCGAGCAGCTACGTGAGTGGTACGCTGGGAGTCAGAGGTCTGGGGGTGCCGGTCCCTGCACTTACGTTCTCCGCACCGGCAACCGTAGTGGGGAGACGTGTGGAAGACCACACGCCACACTGCGCTGCTTTGGCCGCCTGACTGACGCTTGGCGTACGCAGTTTCCCGACTCCTCTGAGATCCCTCGCTGGGGTGATCTGCTTAAGTCGGGGGTTGCTATCTTTGATCTTGATTATGATGCTATCCTTGCTACTATGTATGCTGTGTCTTTTAGTGCTGAGGGTGACTGTTACCTGTGTGTTCCGCCTGACCCGGGCATTGAGGCTGCTGCTCTAGGTGCTGGTGAGTCTGCTTCTCCAGGTGCTGGTGAGTCTGCTGCCCCAGGTACTGGTGAGTCTTCTCTCTCAGGTACCGTGTCGGCTCAGGCCTTACACACTATCACCCTTGACTCAGGTGCTTCCCGCTCCTTCTTTCGTGACTGCACCACACTCTCGCCGCTCAGTCAGCCGGTGGCAGTCTCTTTGGCTGACCCCTCTGGGGGTCCGGTCCTTGCTCACTCCTCCACAGTCCTGCCGTGCCCACCGCTCCCGTCTGGCTCTCTGTCTGGCCTCCTTTTCCCCTCGTTCTCCACGAACTTGGTGAGTGGAGCTGCCCTTCAGGATGCCTGGGTTGACTAGTTCACTCCCCTCACTCCTCCGAGTTTTCTCCCACGAAGGCTCCCTTGCAGACTCTTCACATGGACGTGTGGGGCCCAGCCCGCGTCCGAGGACAGGGTCACGAGCGCTACTTTCTGCTGGTCATTGACGACTACTCGCGTTACACCACAGCCTTTCCCTGCTCCGCAAGGGTGAGGTCACTAAGGTGCTGATCGAGTGGATCCGTGCTGCCCGTCGTCAGCTCAGCGAGAGTTTCGGCTCGGACCTTCCTGTTCTGCTTGTGCACTCTGATAGAGGTGGAGAGTTTTCCTCCGACCTTCTGCGGGCCTTCTGTCGTGCGGAGGGCATCCGCCAGACGTTCACGATTCTGGCCTCTCCACAGCAAAATGGGATTGCTGAGCGCTGCATTGGCATGGTCATGGACGTCGTTCGTACGTCCATGATCCATGCGGCTGCTCCCCATTTCTGTGGCCGTTTGCGGTTCAGTACGAGGCGCATCAGATCAACCTCCAGCCCCGGGTCTTCGTGCTAGAGACCACACCTACCCTGTGGTGGACGGGGAAGGTTTGCGATACGTCTGCGTTCCATGTCTGTGCTTTGTCCCGGCGGGTGCCACTCTCTCCACAGTAGCTGCGCGAGTGGTTTGTTCGCTGTTGGAGTCGTGCTGATAGAGTTGGTGGTGCTACAGGCGCTGGAGGTCTTGCTGCTGCTGGAGCTGCTCGGGGTTCTGGAGCCACTGGTCCCGGAGGTGCTCGTCTTGAAGGTACTGGAGCTGCTGGGGGTCGAGCTGCTGAAGGTGCTGGAGCTGGCGGTACTACTGGACCCAGTGCTGCTGGGGATCGTGGCCCTGGCGCTGTTGGAGCTGCTGGGGCTTTTGGTGGTCTTGCTCGAGCTAGAGGTGCTGGAGCTAGAGGTGCTGCTGGAGCCGGTGCTGCTGGGGGTGCTGGAGTTGGCGCTTCTGGTGCTGTTGGAGCTGGTGGTGTTGTTGGAGTTGGAGGTACTGCCACTCGGGGTATTGGTGCTGTCCCTGCTTGTTCTGGAGGAGCTACGCGGCCGCTGCCGTACTAAGTTCCGCTCCTTCAGCATGTTCTTTATCTTCCGCCTTCTACTAATCCTGCTCCTTCCTTAGAGTGTCCACTGCCTGTCCAGTCCCAGTCACTGTTATAGCGCGCCTCCCCACTCCCTGCTCCTTCTCCTTACACTGGTCCGACTGAAGGTCTTGCGGAGCGTTGTGAGTCTGCGTCTCGTCCTGCGTCGCCTGTTCGTGCTGCTCGCAATAGTCGTCATGGTTCGCGTCATCGTCCTCGTGCGTGTCCCTGGCACGCACCAGATGGCTTTGCCTCCGTCCACTGCTCCGCAGCATGTCCCGCTAACGTCTTCTCCTCTGTCCTCTCTTCCTACCCTTGCTGACCGAGAGTTTGACTCCCTTCGTGCTGCTCGTCCTACTGTCACGCGTCTCCTGACCACTGTTGTCACTGACCCTTCCTTTGAGTCCACTGCTGCGTCTGCCTTAGTTGTTGAGCTTCTCGACTTTGCTGCTCACTGTTGTATAGACTACGCTGCGAGTCTTCTTGCTGAGTCTGAGTTTGTCTGTCCTCCGTCCGTCGGGGGTGAGTGTGCTCTTGGCACGGACGTCCTTGAGGACAGGCAGGAGGACTTTGAGTGCCTTCCAGCTGCTGTACCTCATCTCGTGTCCATGCTGATTGCAACTGAGGTAGACCCGGATGCACTAGACCTCCCGACCCCGCGCTCTTACGCAGAGGCGATAAAGGGTCCCTACTCCTCTCAGTGGCAGTCAGCCATGGACGCAGAGACGGCATCCAGGACGTCCACAAGCACCTACGTCGACGAGGTTCCCCCTTCTGGGCCGAACATCGTCAGTGGCATGTGGATTTTTAGTCGGCCAGCGGGTTCTCCGCCTGTCTTCAAGGCGCGTTACGTTGCTTGAGGCTTTAGTCTGTGACAGGGAGTCGACTTCTTCCAGACCTTCTCCCCGACCACGAAGATGACCACTCTTTGGGTTCTGCTGCACGTCGCTGCTCAGCGTGACTACGAGCTTCACTCTCTTGACTTCAGCATTGCTTTCCTACAGGGCCACTTGCACAAGGAGATCTGGCTGCGCCGCCCACCTGGCTTCACTGGGTCGTTTCCTCCTGGTACCCAGTGGAGCCTCCGGCGGCCAGTCTACAGTCTTCGCCAGGCGCCCCGTGAGTGGCACGACACACTGAGGACTACGCTTGTGGCTCTTGGGTTTGCTCCTTCTACTACTGACCCGTCGCTGTTTCTGCTCACCGACACCTCACTGCCGCCATTCTATATTCTCGTGTACGTCGACGACTTGGTCTTTGCCACTGCTGACACTAAGGGACTTGCCCACGTGAAGTCAGAGCTGCAGAAGAGACACATGTGCACAGACCTGGGTGAACTGTGCAGCTATCTTGGCTTGCAAATCACCCGGGACAGAGCACGGCGTACCATTACCTTGACTCAGTCACACATGGTGCTGCAGGTCCTTCAGCACTTTGACTTCACGTACTCGTTGCCTCAGGCCACTCCTCTGTCTACTCGCCACTCGCTCTCAGCTCTGCCTTTGGATGAGTCCGTAGAGCCAAGTGGCCCGTACACAGAGCTTGTTGGCTGCCTCACGTACCTGATGACCTGCACTCGACCTGACTTGGCATACCCTCTTAGCATCTTGGCACGCTATGTTGCTCCTAGGAGACACCGACCAGAGCACATGGCTTCAGCAAAGAGGTAGTTGCGCTACCTGTGCAGTACGTCGGGCATGGGGCTCGTGCTTGGAGGATGGGCTCGAGTTGTCCTCACTGGTCACGCAGACGCTTCTTGGGTTGACGGCTTGGCCACGCAGCGGTCGTCACAGGGTTACACCTTCAGCCTTGGTTCCGGCTCTGTCTTGTGGCGGTCTACCCGCTCGTCCTCTGTTCTCAGCTCTAGTTGCGTTGCTGAGATCTACGCGGGGGCCATGGCTGCACGGGAGTTACGCTGGCTCACCTACCTGCTGACCGACTTGGGAGAGGCGCCTCGTTCTCCTCGAGTTCAGTACGTCAGCAACAAGGCCATGCTGGCCTTGTGTCAGGAGCACAGACTGGAGCATAGAACAAAGCACATTGCTCTACGCTACTTCCTTGCTCGAGAGTTGCAGCAGCTTGGTCAGCTTCGTCTTGCTTACGTTGCCACTCGGGCCAACACTGCTGATATCTTCACCAAGGCACTTCAGCCTTGTGATCATCAGCGTTTCTGTACTATACTAGGTCTTGTGCCTACCGGGCCTCACTTGCTTACCTCTTGACTTTGCTTGTACTGTGATCTATATATACCTGCTTCTGCATGCTTACCTTTGCTAGGTTGTGATCACTGTCTTGCTTGTTCACTTTGATTTATAGTCCTGCATGTGAAGTGGCCTTGTGGCCTTTGAACTTGTGCTCGGAATGTGTGGTGACGTTGTGATCCACCCTGAGCTTACTTTGCTTTGCCTGACTGGTCTTGTGACCCCGTGTTCTCCCCCACTTTGCTTATGGGGGTTTGTCAGACATACATGCTATAGCCTGTGTAGGCTGTAGTGGGGTAGCTGATAGGGGGTACAACTTTTCTAGGGTTTCATACTTGTACCTTTCTCATTCCTAGTCAATTAATTCCTCGTTTTTTTTCTCACATTTGCGTCCCAAGTGTGGGCAGCATCTACGTAGCTGGTAATCTGTAGATGAGCCATTAGATTCGCCTTGTAATTAAGGTTGCTGTTGGGCGTAGAGACGAAGTACTGTAGGGCGCATCACGGGTCCGCATATTCTCCCCTTCAGGTCGGCGCAGATGCTGGGCGAGCTGGCTGACGATATAGGACAGGTCCGGACGGCATGTGACGGCGGCAAAGAGTAGACACCCGAGCTGCTGGTGATAGAGGCGATGGTCAGTCGGAGAGAGCGGAGTGGTGTTGGGCTCCTGGTTAAGCGGAGGAATGCAAAATGGGGTGGAGATGCCGACGCGAGCGATGCCGAACTTATTGGCGAGGGTCTTGGCGTATTTCGCTGTAGCGAGGTGGATCGTGTCAGCGGTTTGAGTGACGTTGAGGCCGAGGAATTGAGTGACATTATGATCGATGGTCCCCTCGAGCTTCTCTTTGATGTCGTATTCGAAGCAGCCGAGCAGATCTGTGTTGTCCGCGGTGTAGAACAAATCGTCGACGTAGGCGTTGAGCAAGTTGAAACTGCCGTGGGACTCAAGACGATACATCCCCTAATTGTGCAGAAGGCGCTTGAAGCCAAGCTCGATGAGCACAGTGGGAAGATATTGCTGCCATAGGCGTGGCGCCTGCTTGATCCCGTACAGCGACTTTCGTAGGAGGCAGATGGCGTCACCGTCTTCCTCGAAAGCATGCGGCTGTTCAAAGTAGATAATTGCGTTGACGATTGTGTAGAGGAACGCGTTCGACGTGTCAATCTTGCGCACGGGACGCTGTTTCACGGCTGCGCCACACAGTAGGATGCGGACGGAGGTGTGACGTCCGACAGGTGCAAACGTCTTGTTGTAGTCCACGAATTGGGTTTCTTCAAAGCCGCAAACGACCCACCGTGCCTTGTATTTGTCAATAGTCCCGTCCGCGAGTGTTTTGATACTGAAAACCCACTTCCATGTGAGGATGTTTCTCCCCTTTGCGTGTCGTCGAGTTACTAGCTTCCAAGTGCCACGCCGCTGCAGTGCAGCGACTGTTAACAGGAGTGGAGTGTTGGCCATGCCCTCGCTTGTGCAACATCGACGACTTGGTCGGATGTACGAGAGTAGCAGCTGACCGTTCACAGTGGGAGAGCTGCTCGACAGGCTTCGTTGAGCTGCAGAGGACCGCTGTGGTGTTTCTGTCGACCAGGGAGGTTGACGGAGCAGTCCGTTGACCTGCAATTTGACCGGGAGGTTGATCGAGCAGTCCGTCGACCTGACAAGTGAGTAGCAATCGACGAGGGGAGCTTGGCGACAACCGCTGACAGTTCCGGTCGACAGAAGGGGTCCGT